CTCTCTCTCTCTCTCTCTCTCTCTCTCTCTCTCTCTCTCTCTCTCTCACACACACACACACACACACACACACACACACACACACACACAGTGTTATGTCCGTCTGTCTTTATTTTGTTGTTTTGTCCTTGCCCCGTTTTTCTTTTCTTTTCTTTTTTCACTTTTGGTGTGTCCAGCTGAGCACCCCTAAGCAGTGCCAAATAGTCGGTCATTCCTTGTTTGGAGTGCCTGCAGCACTCTTAGAGGGGGTGCTCAGTTCGGGATGGTCTGCCTGCCGTACGGGTGATGGCGGACGTTTGCCGGGTTGACTCCTGGCTCAGTGGGTGGTGCAGTCTGTGGGGTTCACCCGTGATGTGAGTAGGTGATGTGCCTGCTTTGCTCAGAGTCTCGGATGGGTAGACTTCCTCGCGCGCTCCGCCGCTGCCTTGCTGCTTGTCCCACTTGCTTCGCGTGTCGTTCCTGGCAAGCTGCTGTGTTCACTGTGTGGTGTGGCTGCAGTGTTGGTGTTGCATTGTGCTTTGTTGCTCTGCTGCCTCGCTGCCCATCTGTCTGCCTTGCTATCCGTGTCCTTTGCTTGTGTGCCGTGCAGTTTTGCCGCCTTGCTGGTGTTGCCTTGTGCTTCATTGCACAGTTGCTGTGCTGCTCGTCCGCTTGCCGTGTTGTTCCTTGCAGTTGCTTTTGGCGTTGTGCAGTCATGTTGCCTCGACAGAGTTGCCTGGTGCTTCGCTCAGTTGCTACCCGCTGTTATGTTCCGCTTTGGGACAGTCTGCCTTCAACAAAAAAAAAAAAACATGGGTCAAAGGGTTCATGACCCAAACCATCAATACAGAGATTCTGCAGACTGTCAAGGGTTCAGCCTCTTGATGAGTCGGTGCATCTCCGTCGAAACGATGTAACATCACCAGTTTGTTTGTTTGTGTGCTTGTTTGTTTGTTTGTTTGTTTGTTTGTTTGTTTGTTTGTTTGTTCGTTTGTTTGTTCGTTTGTTTGTTTGTTTGTTTGTTTGTTTGTTTGTTTGTTTATTTGCTTTTTTCCCTTTTCTTTTATCATCATCAGTGTTTTAGTTTTTTCGGTCTTTCCTTTTTCTGGGACTTGTTTGTTTCTGGGCTGCCTGTTTAGTGTGTTTGTGTGTCGTCTGCCCTCCCGCCTCCCCCTCGCCCTCCAGACTTTTTCCACTACTGTTACTTGTCATCCTTCCCTTGTCGCCTCATGCCCTTTCCTTCCCGTCTTCCATCTGCCTTCCCCTTCTAGCCTTGAGCTGTTTGGCTGAGCCCCCACCTCCCCCTTTCCCTCCAACCTACATGCCCTGACCTTTCGCGTGTAGTGGGGACGCTCTGGGGTAGGTGTGCGCCTTCACCGTCTTTCATCTGCCTTTCCCTTTGTTGGCTTGTACTGTTTGTTTGCCCACCTGCCTTCCCCTTGCCCTCCAACCTGTGAGCACTTGGTGTCTTGCTGTTGGTTGTACCCTCTGCTGCCTGTTGCCCTTTGGCTTATTGTCTTATGCCTCATTTGCCCGTTAGTTTTGCTGTCTTCCCTGCTCGCCTAAGTACTCAGGATTCGGCCTAGTCATCCTGAATAGGTTCGGCAAAGTTCGGTGTTCACGGCCTTCCTTCCCATCCTAATTCTATCCTGATAAGCGCCGGCACTTGGTGGTGCAGTCTCCGTGGCATGACATGCATACAGGTACGGTTGCATAGCACACACACACATCTCTCTCTCTCTCTCTCTCTCTCTCTCTCTCTCTCTCTCTCACACACACACACACACACACACACACACACACACACACACACACACACACACACACACACACACACACACACACACACACATAGTTTATTAAACTTTATTTTTGCATATCCTTTTTATTTGCTTAGGCAAAATCATTTTTGGTTCACCAAACACTTCTACATTTTGTACTCCAAAATCGAATTCATCTCCAATTTTCCTTTTTCCTTCCAGGTGTTGTTTTAAACAAATGAATCGAGTTTTCAGCCCTGTTTCAACCACCACCATGTTATCTTGTACTTGTTCGACTGAACATTGTAAAACACTCCCACGTAGATGAGTCAAACACAACTTCAGGAGAAGGAGTGCTTTTCTTTGCAAAAACAGACAAAAGTGGCACATAACAGGGGGTAGCGACTGTTTATTAAAAACACAGGACTCTGCCAAGTAGTAACACGATGCATAGAGTCTGACACCTGCCCAATGCTGGAAGGTGAAAAGGAGAAGTGATGTAAGCTTTGAATGGAAGCCCCAGCAAACGGCGGCAGTAACTCTAACTGTCAACTTTAGGGCAGTTATAAAATCTGGCTATGCCCGTGTGGTCACTTGCTGATTTCAGGCGAAAAAAAAAACAGTTTAGATCAGCTTCAAACTACCGTCTTCTTCCCCCAACGCAACGCACCCTTATCATGACCGTATCGTACCAGAAAGATCGTTTGCATATTTTCATTATCAGGGTGCGTTGTGTTCAGGGGAGCTCCTTTTGTTTCCCCTTTTTTTCCTAACGTGCTCTGTCCAGCCAAGTTGGTGGAGGGCAGTTTATAAAAATCCTCTTGCTCACCACGGGCAACACAGGGAGCTGCCAGGACACTCATATCCACTTTTTTAAAGTTTTTTTCCCTTTTTCTTTCGAACCACAAGTACATGGCCCCAGCCAAGTTAGGAATTGAGATTGAGGCCTCTCCTAAACATTAGGAGGCTCGGGACAGGGCCTCCGAAGGGCGGATGGAAAAAAAAAAATTGTCCCGTGCCTTGGGGTGGGACACGGCGCAGCACTGAAACAAAACAAAAATTAAAAAATTATGCCCGCCCCCAGGCAAGCCCTGTCCTGAGTTACCCAACTGTTTGGAGAGGCTCCTTCGCGACTCTCTAGACGTACTGGCGGTTTATACTCGTGTCCACTTCACTGTGGGTTCACTTGTGCCAGGAAAGGGGATTCCTTGTTCTAACCACAAGGTGAACAGATTCTACTTACTCCTGATTTTGTAAATAGGACCCCCCCCGGCCCCCCCATTTTCCCTCTCCACAGCCGACTCTCTCTACCTATACAGCCATACTCTGTGCAGAGCTTTCCAGAACAGGAAGTTGAAAAAAAACTTGCCTTTTCCCATACACTTGTTCAGCAAACCATCCCTTGACATTATCTTTCGCAGCCAGGCGACTAGACACATAACCGTAAGCAGTATCGCCGTCCTGAAATTGAGAACACCCATCACAAGACAGAAGATAGGCATGAAGGGTAATCAGAGGACAGGGCCAAATTTAAGGGGGGGGGGAAAAAACAAAAAAAAAAAACAAGAAAGTAAGGTACTAAAGACGATGTCTCCCTTCGGAGATGATAATCAATGCCATCATATTAAGAGAATTTAAGACACAAGCTTCATTTTCTCTGTTAAGACTTAAAACCTTAACAGGGACACTGGGCCCGTTTCCCAGCAGGTGAAGCTCCCCCCGCCAATGGACTGGAGACATCTACAAAGAGGGTTCTCTCTACTAGAGACTGCTCATATCACCTCCAATAGTTGGGCTGTTGCAGGTGTTAAAGAAATGAGTTCAAATAACTAAATATTCAAATAGGCTGAAGTAGCTAAATAAAGCTTAAAAACCGAGAAAACTCCCATGTGCGAGGCTCAAGGCCTCGACGAGCCCTATTGGGCCCTCTTTTCAACAGCGTCGGCCGCCCTCAGTGAAGGCAGGCTCGACCAAGGACAAGAGGCCTATTTCCGGCTACCACGCAACTTGGGAAATTCAGGCAGTTGCACAGCGCCAGCTGGTTGAGAGTGCCCAGGCCCTGGCTCCCTTTTTCAAATGTAACTGAGGCAGGCCCTGGGCGAGATATGCAACATGGGCCGAATGCAGGCTGTGGGCAGTTGAACACGGGTAACCGCTCTAGGCCCAGGGCCTGACTCCCTGGACTGGGGCTCAGCCACTTGGGGCCTACCAGAAGCTTCTGGGCAGGGGCCCAGCACAGCCAGGCCACACGCAGCAGGCAGCCCACTTCCATTTAGGAAAGTGCCTGCCCCCGCATTTGGCATCCGGGCATTTGCTACAGGCTGCGCAAGTGCTGCTGCGCTACTGGCAGGCAAGCGCCCATGCGCTCACGGGCGAGCAGGATATACGCAGGCAGCCATAGCCGGGCTGGCCTGCGAGATGCTGGATGGGGCGCATAGTGGCCCTTGGGTGCACATGGCATCTGTGGGGGGGGGATCGAGGTTGTGAGTGATGCGAGAGACATACCTGGTGCTTGAAGCGAATGGCATTGGCCGAGATCTGTTCATACTTCGGGGAGCTGTTGACATCACCAGCGACATTGTAGATAGGCTAGATAGGATCTGCCATTTGTAGTCTGCGCGCAGAGCGCCAGATAGGAAATCGACATTGGTTCTTTGTTGATGATGATGAGACTATTCCAACATTGTCACTTGTGAGCTTTTGCTGTGTTCTTATTTGGTGGAACTCAAGTTGCAATTCTGCTTTTGGTTCGAGGTCAAGACTATCTGGTTTCATGTGTATGATGCTGCTTGGTTTCTGGATTTCGCAATCGCTCATTTTCCTTGGATTTTGGTATCGGAGCTGTGGTACGTTGCGCTAATCTGGCGCTTGTCTTCTGCCTATGCGGTACATGCATGCGGTCTGCTGGGTGGGCGGCCGTAGGGAGTGTGTCGTGAGGAGGGCGAAGGCAAGCAGGCAACCCAGGTGGAGAGGGGTATCGCCAGGAAGGCGACGAGGTGGTATCTGGGTGTTCGCAGTGTGATGAGAACTATCTGATGTGCAATTGATGCTGAGGTGGAACGGCGGTGTAATGCTGGTTGTGCCGAAGCAATGATTGGTCATCACGATCGGCGTTAGGTCGTCTGGTGAGAATATCTGTGGTTGGGGGCAACTATTTTGAGGTACGTTGCTCTTAACCTTATCTACCCTCTTCGACACTTCTTACCGCGAGGATATGTGTTCTGTCTTGAGAGTCCTCTCATGTGAGGAGTCGAGTGCACTCAACCTTGAGAGTTGGCATTGTTCACGTGGAGCATCTGGAAGGAGAGGGCAGAGCTATCTGAAGGGCCCTAGACGAAGCACTGGGTCACGGTCACCATGCCAACCCACCGGGAGTAGAGCACGCATGCTTTGCTGCTTTGTCCTTTGTCTGCCTGCTGCGCTGTTAGATGGGTTATGAGGGGCAGGCCAGCCCTACAGGGTAGATGAGTACCGGACGTCTATAAATAAGTATCGGCGGGGTAACCTTCCATTGGCTGTGATCGTCGTCCTGTCTGCGACGTTAAATAATTCCTGAGGACTTCGGGGGCCGTCCTTAAACGCCTCTTGATCAGCCAATCAGTCGGTATAAGGCTCGCTGCACACGAGGGTAAACATGGTGCAAGGCTGGCCGGCTAAGCATTGACTCAGGGCACAGGGTGGGCCGTGTGCAGTGTGCACACCTTTAAACACGCACGCTATCTGGATTGCTCACGGACGCTGACGTCAAGTGACAATCAAGAAGAATTGAGGAAGGGGTAGATTTCAGGTTATAAGTTCGGGAACAATTCCACTCTGCCAACAGCCAATCAAATGATTCTATTTTTATTTTGATTGGTTAGATGTACAGCCATTAAACATCTGACAGACAACATAGGTAGAACTGTTTCAGCTCATTTGCTTTTTGTTTGTGGACTAGTCAAATAAAATAGTTTCGTTTGTAGGAATTTGGACTTACCTGTTGGACCCAACAATGTATACTCTGTTATAGCCACCGATTAATTATTTTATTTATTTTAAATCGGTCTGAGCACTACGCTGCGCTAGGCATCGAGTGTGTCCTAGTGCAGACAGTGTACAAAACTGTAGCTTATGAGCAACAGAGAGGTTTCTGGCCCGGACGACAGGATCCTTCGATCGGCAAGACGCCCGTTGGCCCACGTGGCATTAGGACCCGAGGGTGACAGGTTTTTGTTCCGCCAGCTTAGGGAGAGGCAGCAGCAGCAGCGGAGAGCTAGGGCCGCAGAGGCAAGCAGAGCTTTCGCAAGCGAGGCAGCTACTTCAGCAACCATGGCCACTGCTGCACAACAAAGTTCCCAGGCCAGTTTTCAGGGATGGTCGACGCGACGGTCGCACAGTCCCTGAGTCAGTCCGCTGGCGTTATGGCAAGCCAGCAGTTAGTGCTAACTCCTGAAGAGGTCGCTATACAGAGAGCAAGTGCTCAGGAGGCACAGCTACAAAAGGCTTTAGATGAGATAGAGGCAAAAAAGGATAGAATGATTAGAAGAAGGACTAGGATGCAATGGAGACAAGCGGACATCAGAGAGTTAGAAGGGATGGACCTGACTAATATGGATGCTGACGTGAGGACCGTGAGGACAACCCTGTTAGATGTAGTGGAGATGCAGGACTACCACACGTCACTCTTGCAGGACATGGAGCGGAGTCTGGCCGTGCTGGTCGGGCGAGTTCAGGCAACACCATCACCATCAGGGCCCGGTGCCTGGCCTGTGGTACAGCCTCCTCCTTTTGTCCCACCGGTTACTTGAGTATCCCCATTTGTACTTCCTCCAGCATCGGTACAGGCCGCTTCCCTATTAGGTATGCCTTTGACAGGCGGGTTCTTAGCAGGTACTAGTGTACAGGTTCCGGTCTAGACAGTGTTCTCCCAACATCCGTTGCAGACTGCCGTAACTGGGCAGCTTGCTATCTCGCAGCCGGCACAGCCACAGGGCACACAGCCCCAACAGCAGTTAGTGCAGCAGCCTGCACCCCAGGGTCCAGAGCCTGGAGTGGTGCACGTACCGGGACAAGGCCAGTGGGTTCCGAGGACTGCCATCGCCTCGCCTAGACCCTTCTCAGGGGATAAGAGGGGCAAAGACCTTGACACATGGTTGAGGTCTGTACCAGTCTACGTGAAATGCAAGTTGACCTTGCCGCATGAGGAAGTGCTTGTGGCTTCCTCCTACCTGGGGGGAAGTGCAACAAGATGGTTAAGCGGGTTAGTACAACTGCAGGGATACGGCTATGACTTCCGCGCTTGGGCAGTCGACCAGAGACTAGATGACTTCCTCAAGTTGGTGGAAGAAAGGTGGCATGATCCGCAGGAGGCTCAAAAGGCCATTGACAAGATCCTGACCCTGAGCTCCAGAAAGTTCAGGTCAGTGAGGGATGTCACAGACGTTGTTGAGCATCTGATCTGTGTTCCTGGGGTGCGGTACGATCCCCATGTCTTACTTACCACTTACCTGAGGTGTCTTCCTATAGAACTCAGGAATCAGTTGGCAGGTGAGGCAAATATCACAGTACACAACTTCCCCTTGTTCAGCAAGAAGGCCCTGGACCTAGAGGCAAAGATAGGGCATGGGCACCAACCCACGACGGATGGTAGTAAGAAGGCATTGCCTCCCAATTGGAAGGCGAAGGGCCGCATTATATTCGTCGATAACGATGGTTCCACCATCGAGTTAGATGACGACTTCCAGGAGGGAGTTGGTTCAGAGGCGGGCAACGCAGAGGCTTCAGGGGGTGGACCAGTCGCTGCCTCAGTCCAGAAAGGTAAGGCGATCGGTAGACGCAGTGGAGGCTCACGGTCTAGAAGTCAAGTAGACCCCAACGCTCCTCCATGGGAGAAAGCGGGTCTCACAGAGGACGTGTGGAGAGACAGATACACTCGGCAGGCTTGTATCTGTTGTGGCCAATATGGCCATAACCAGTTCAAGTGCCGAAATAAGAAGGTGACAAAAAAGATCCCGCCTACAATTGGGCAGGCGCCGACATCCTCCGCTTCCCAGGGTAGCAATTTTGCCAGCAGTTCTGGCACTGCTTCAGGAAACACGTCGGGCCAGTAGGAATGGTAGTTATTCCTGCTAGGGTGGAGATGGTGGTCACACCGTCACCATCCCCAGAGACGGCCCAAGCTACTAGCTCCGTTGTCGTCCCACAGACACATTCAGACCCATTGATCCTTTGTTCAATGAATGTGTTTGAGTCCTTAGAGGAGCTAGAGGAGGAGTGGTCTAGATCGGACCCGCTAGCTTCGTGGACGGCCATGGCAAAAGCCCCTAAGGGTGAGTTGTTCGTCAGTGAGGTAGATATAGGCGGCCGCAAGTCGGGGCCTTCTACGATACATGTGCGGCGAGGAACTTTATCAGTCGCGCGTGCGTTGAGAGGTTGCGCTTACAGGGGCAAGTGCAGCGCCTGAGTCGACATGTGGAGTCGAC